ACTGAATTAAATTCAAAATTTTTATTGTTGTAACATGTTTTTAATATAGATTCAAATGCACTTTGCCAATCGAAGACCTCTGCAAAGTCGTTCAACAACGGTTTCATAATATTGCTACTACCCATGATAGCGTACAAACGTAATTGAGAAAATATAATATATTTCCTATAAGATTCAACGGTCATGCTAGTACTTAACGTATTCATTCTATCATCAATTAAAGATTTCAATTCGTCAACACAATGTTTTGTGTTTTTTTTATTTTTAATTGAACAAACTAACTTCGTCAGAAAAGGGCATTGGGTTTGTTTTGCTGTGTTTTTGGGTTTTGAAGACTTTTGGAGCGATTTTAAAATTTCATCATACTTGGACCCGACATTTTGATCATTGTAGATGTTTTCCGTTTTGCAATTTTCTTGAGTGAATTTTGTAAGTGTCTGGTAGACAACGTCGTGATCGAGCAAAATAACTGGACTTTTCTTCATTTTGTCGATGCTAGTTTTCTTTATAACGAGTGACTTTAAGCACTCCGTGTACATATACATAAACCAAAATTGATCAAAAAAAATAGTTGCACCGACGTTATATGCAATGTTTATAAATTCGAGAGTTTGTCCCGAGAAGAAAAACACACTGGTATCTTTGTGTTCTATCAAAGCTGACAACTCATGCTCATTTTCTTCGGCCATTAGATTTTTGATTAAATTCAAGTAATGACAGCTATTGAACAAGAAACCACATAAGAATTGTTCGTGGACCTTACCTTTTGCAGTTTCCGGACTTGTATCTAACATGTTTGATGAGCTTCCTAAACCATCGTGTAAATATTTTGTATTAACTTGCAGTAAATTTTCTTCCTCGGGTTGGACCGTTTGAACATTTTTCCAGAAACAAGTAGCAACTATTATGGGTAATAATAAAACGGCTAGATTAAAATACATTATTAAGTTGAATACGTTATCAATTAGGTAATCTACTTTAACAAGTTTAGTCATCGGCGATGTTTTCATGTGTTTTTAAAAAAACAAGGCAAGTTTTTTTTTTTTAATGTTATTGCGAGTCATAAAATTTATTTTTTGAAAAAATTGAGCAACGCTGTATTATACATATGACTTCGACATAATATATGGGTAAACAGTATGACGTATTTTGAAAAAAATTCTGTATTTTGTAAAAATACAGAAGACTAAAACATATTTGTAATAGGTACATTGCAAACGTACTTTTCGGCGTACGTCCGAAAGACAATTTTTTTAAAAACAATTTTGTACTTTAATATTGTTTTGTATATTACTATTTCATTGATAACAATGAACAATTTAAAATTAAAATTAAAATTTGAAACTTACTAAACGATTAGTTTAGTAAGTTTTTTTCACATAATATGTTTAAAAAATATAGAAAACCAATATTATTTTATTAAATAGTTGGCAAACATAATAGATAGCAGGTACAGGCAGAGATCAATGTAATGTTAGGTGATAAATGGTTAATTTTCAAAAACATTATGATTATTTAGTAAATACTGTAAAAATAGTTGCACCTATATTATACACAATGATTATATATTCAAGAGTCTGTTCCGAGAAGAAAAATACACTGGTATCATTGAGTGCTATCAAAACTGACAGCTTATGCTCATTTTCATTGGCCATTAAATGTTTGATTAAACTCAAGTAATGACAGCTATTGAATAAATAACCTTTTAAGAAATGTTCGTGGACTTTACCTTTTGCACTTTCCGGGCTTTTGACCGACATGTTTGATGAACTTCCTAAACCATTGTGGGAATATGTTGTATTAATTTGCAGTACATTTTCTTCTTGGGGTTGGACGTTTTTCCAAAAACAAGTAGCAACTATTATCAGTAACAATAAAACTACTTGGTTAAAATACATGGTTATAGTTTGAATATATTTCTAATAGAAAATTGCAGCTCTATTATATGCCTACTATTTGGCGATGTCTGTGGTGTATAGAAAGAAGTATTATATCTTTATATTTGGAACTGCGCATTAATTATTTGTATTTTGTTTAAACAGACGCGAAATGTCTTTTTTATTCAACTAACGCGTATAAACAGTGTGTCGTATTTTTGTTTGTGATTTGTCTTGACATCTACTTGATATTTATATTCTGAATATTTAACATTATTTTTCCCTAGTTGAAACCGTTTAAAATTCAGTATTAAGGAAGTGTCCAGTTAAAACTAGTCATATAATCAATTTACAAATATATTATTAAATATATATTATATAATAACATTAATACTATAGTCAAATATAAATCACCATCAACGTATAAAATACAAGTTATTGAATGACTGAATTTTATGAAGAGAGATTTGGTTGACTATACATTTGCCATAATAACCGTTTGGTGTATGTATTATAATTAAATAAGAAAAAAAACCCAAATAAAATAAGAAGAATAGGACAAATACATTTTTATTTTATTTTAAGTAAGCCTCGACTACTGGATCTTTGGCTAAACAATTAGGTTAACTACAATTGATACAGTAAGGTATGATTATTATAATAAATTACAAAGGTTGGTCTATATTATATTAAATAACGTTGTATGCTTGATAAATCCAATTTCATTTTTTTTTCTGCTTGTGTGTTGACTGATAAGGTTTCTTGTAAATGTTCTGGTATATTGAATTCAACACGATTGTCAGCATATTTTCTATATTCCGTGATGTTATGTTTCATTGTATGATAAATCAATTGTTAACATAATCTAAGAATCATAATATGATACATAATTGTCAAATATTTACATTCACTTGATCGTGTGTAATATTACTAAATATGTTTTTACTTATTTTATCGATTATTTACTTAAATTTATATTGTACAATGCATACTCGCTACGTTACACAACTATCGGGTGCATTTCTTCAAATCATGGTTCATGTTCTAGTATTATGTAATTATTATTGTTAAATACTGTATGTACAAAAACGATGGATTATTGATGTTTTAGCTGATCAAATCATTTTAAACAATACATGATTATTTAATTCATCATGTAGCTTAACGGGCCTCTAAGGTACAATACGTTGCCATCATGAGAAGGTTTCTAGACGAATTCGATGACCGAAATGATATTATAATACTAATAATGAGAACAGATAATTATATTATAACTAGGTACCTATTATAATTATGTAATTTTTAGCTTAGGTTTTCGCAGTGTGTATAATTGCAATCTCACAGAATTATGTAATTGTGTAATGCATAACTGCTGGACTTTTTTAATGACAAACGACTCGATGGTTAAATAAAGTCCTTTAAAATTGACGAAATTACTTATTGATTGATTAATATTTCCAAATGTTGTTTTATAAGTATAAAAACGATTTGGGTTTAAAAAAATTACAGTTAACACAATTATTAGTCTGCATATTTCCTATGTTATACTTCCCTACAGTACTTACAGTACCTCTAACAATTAAATCGTTGGGAAATTTTTTTCAATTTCTTTGTTTTTTGCCTTGTAATTATTACTTTCCCGCGTTGGTTATTAGCCGTAAGCATACAATGCTGATCTTATATCAATTTAAAAAGGTTGATGGCCTTGAGAAAGGCAAGGGAACTAAAGCATTAATAAAATTATAATTATTCTTATTTCTTCGATTATTAACCACAATTGAAATAAATTATAACAATTCATACTAGCTTTAATTTTAGTTTCACAAGACTAACATTGACTTCTATTTGACTCCTTGTTATAAATATATTATACAATAATAATTGTTGTTAATATTTCCATGTTTACGACCTATCGTTGTCACTTGTCACAGTTTACACACGTTCAATTCACAACTCACAGCTCACAATAATGACTAAACTCTAAATCGTCTAAAAACTACAACGTTGAACAACACTAGCATAAGCAATAAATATTACGAGCAAAGCATACTGATAAAGAGGTACTGACATTCAGAATCTAAGTATCTTTAATGTTTTTGAAAGATTTGTTTTGTACTTGGTCTATTAATTTTACTTTATTTTTATTTTTAAGGAGATACTGCATTTTACTCTAGTACGATCAAGTATAAAAATAAACTTTACACAATAAAGGATCTCCATAAAGATCATGTTCTATCAGTTAATTTTGTATTTACTGTTTGAATTTATTGATAATAAAATGATAACAATAGAATGACGGTCGATAACCAGTTGGGACAACTATTTTTAAAGTTATAAGAGTTTCGCTTTTAGGACCGGAGGAAAGGTGTGTAGTAATATTTTTATCTACGCGCATTTCCAAACCGCACTTCCCCTCCCATCCTAACTTATTAACTCTTACAACTTTAATAACAATTATCCAAAACTGGTTATCAACCAGTCAACATTTGTAGTACATTATTTTAAATTTAAAAACTTAATAAAATATATGCGTTACCTTTGAAGTTTTAAAAGTTGCTATCAAAAAAACTAAGTTGGGAGGGGGGTAAAACAAAAAAAATTGTGTAAATTTGAGATCGCATTGTATAAAAACAACATGAAAAAGTAACAAAAATTTCTTATTATACCCTATGAAATATTGAGCCATGATAAAAGAATCACTCTGTATAATATGCTGCTTTATTCTCTAGGATTCTCTAGGGCATGATTCATATTTTGTTATTCCCTAGTATTGGACATTATTTTGGTTGATACTACCTTTAGTGATCACTTTCAAAGTGATTTCTAGTGGACTTACTGCGTTTCACGCGGGGGAAAACGCGGAATAACGTACATTTTTCAAATTGGGCGTTTTTCTTCAGGAGGGCAGTACCTATATAGAAATAACGCTCAAGTTTGTTCCTCGTATGTCGACATGGTCTGATACTCAAACGGATAGTTTGAATAATAGCACCGGACTTCGGTGCCAGAATGAATGGTACGTAATATCAGCTTACCAACACATCACAAAACCAACGGCGGCGGCGGCAAGAGAAGGGGCCCGGGAGAACGGCCTTAACCGACGTTTGACGCGCGCTAACCGACCGGCAGTCGTTAGTTTATCGGTGTAGTGTTGTGACCAACGCCAGGATGATTACATACTATTTTACAAACGGTCCATGGTGGCTGGACGCTTTGTCGCTTTTGGCGGTCGCCTGTCTGGCGTTGTATTATTTCAGCATCTCCACGTACGGTTACTGGCGAGATAGGAACGTGCCGTACGCTCGTCCCACGCCACTGTTCGGATGTCTGCTGCCGATAGTCACGAGACGGGTGCACATGGTCGACGAATTCGGCAAGATCTACCGGCAGGCCCGCGGTGCAAAGTACATTGGCATGTTCCAGATGAGAACGCCGGCGCTGATGGTGTGCGACCCGGCGCTGATCGCCAACGTGCTGGTCAAAGACTTCTCGCACTTCACGGACCACGTGCCGTTCGGCGACCCGGTCAAGACGCCTCTGGTCAACCACTTGTTCAACATGAAGGGCAAGCAGTGGAAAGTGATGCGGCAGAAAATGAGCCCGGCCTTCACGCTGGCCAAGCTGAAGCTGATGCACTGCCAGATAGCCGAATGCAGCACGCAGCTGATGGCGTACTTGGACCGCAGGCTGGCCGAGTCCCCCGGCGGCGCTATCGAAGTGCGGAACGTCATCGGCAACTATTCGATGGACGTGATAGGCACTTGCGCTTACGGTCTGCGGTTGAACGCCATTAACGACGACCAGTCGCCCTTCCGCAGACACGGCAACAACCTGTTCACCCAAATGTTCAAAGCCATTTTCCGGGACTTGTGCGTCATGGTGTCGCCAGTCCTCAACTCTGTGCTGAACATAAGCGATTACTCCAAGGAAACCATAGAGTTCTTCACGTCCGCCCTGACCGACACCATGAGGTACAGAGAGGAAAACAACATCGTCCGAAACGACGTCGTCAAGTGTCTAATGGAAGCCAGAACCGATTTGGTCATAAAAAAAACCGAACCGTCAAGTATGTACTATTATGACAATTAATAATAATTATAACAGCGCTTAGATCCGATCGTGATGAACAAACGCGATAATATAAGTACTTTTAATAATATTTTGGTTAGGTTAGGTTTAGCAGTGTCTAGGATTTTTAAAAGGAACCTTCACGTTATGTGATCACTGATGAGCGAAAGTTAGAATTATCGAAGAATCTCCATTTTGAAAAAGTCTCTATAACAAATTTTCTGCGATTATTCAAATATTAATAAATATTTTCATTGTAGTTTTTAGAAATATTTACGATTATGTTGTTTTACAATATTAAAAAAGCACTAAATATTTAACTTTTTTAGTATTTTCTAGGTTCCGTCCTAAATTTATAACTTTTATAACATTTAAAGTAATTATCCAAAACTGATTATCGACCTGTCAAATTGGTTTATCAAATAATTCTCATTTTGAAATGTTAATTAAACATATTGTACTTTTCAATTTTTTTAAGGTTAAGGATGCTGCGTTCGAAAATTGAACTGTAGCAAATTGTAGACTTATTTTTAGCTTTATATTTATCACCTAATAAGTTTAATTTTTAACTTTTTTTATACATGTTTTACAGAAAAAAACTCTTACACATCTTTGAGTAGTCCGATTACAGATTTTTTTTTTTTGAAAAAAGAAAGGCTTTCAACAGGGTGCGTTGGTCTTTGATTTTCAAATTATATTTCTAAACGCTATTACATTTTTCACAAGACGTTTGATAATTTGTATTTAGAAGCGAGTCTAGCGCACTATGTAAAACTTCTTTCCAATAAAATAACATGTTATTATTGTGTTATTATTGTTACATAACACTACGAGATGTGAGAGTTTTAATCGTTTTACTTTTAATAACAGATCTCGCGCAAGCTCTATTTAAATATCATGACTTGGTATAATTCATTTTATTTATGACTTATGTTAATAAACAACGTGTCAAGATGAAGTACGCAAATGCATTATGTCGTATTGTGTAATAGTTATTGTTGGAATATAAAATATGATATTATTAAATTTAAATAATATAATGTATATAATATAAAAGTGATAAGATGCAATGATAAATAAATGTAGTATAAAAGTGAATAAGATATAACGGTAAATAAATGTTTGATATAAGTAATAGTAAGATAATATTACAATAATTATAAGGTACTGAGTAGTGTTTGATTTATTCGAAACGCTTTTAACATACACATCAATCTATAAATGAACAAAAATAAATTCACAAAGTATAAACATGTATATTTAAAAAAACACCATTTTATGATTTTTTAATTAGTTTACACATTTAATAATAAGTTTGTTGAAATGATAAATTATGTACAAAAAATTATTTAAACATTATAATTTAATAAAAACAATAATGTCATCTAAAACATGACCGCAACACATGGAGCTACAACAGGAGGGGACGACAATAAACTTCTCGTCTATACGACACCAAAATACTATTAAGTAAACTAACCTGGACATGCGTTAAAGAGTTTTTAGGTACATATAAAAGTTTTGTAAGCCATTGAACCATTGTCGTGGTTCTTTTTAGTAAAACTATATTTCAGGTACTCGACAAATGGCAAATTATAATTTTAATTGTTATTTACCGTTAAGTGCACCCTTAAAGACCTAAATACATATAATTAATTTTAACAACAAAGTGTTGTCTGTTCATTACATATTTTGTTTGCATTTATACAAGAACCCATTTATATTACCATATACTAATTATCATTAAAACCATTTTTGATTAATATACTGTGTGTTGTAATACCGACCAGTACTCATTATTTTAAAAATTATTAATAAATACAGGGTGAAAAATTTAACCTGGGACACTTGTTTCCTCTTAAAACAATTGTGACTTTCTTTTGTGTCTTCACACTTCAGCTTATGTTATTTTATAATATTATACAATATTTGAGTTTTTATCATTATTATTACTATTAAATTTTCCAGAGATTTATCAACTACTAAAACTTAAATAGTAACGTATGTTGGATATATTTAACTAACTTTTTAAATTAAGAACAATTTTGCCAAACCTTTTGACTGGTCAACGACCCAGATCATTACTTTTAATGTTACTAATGTTTATAAGAGCTTTGGAAAATGGTAAAAACGGTAAATATTTAGTGCTTTAATAATATTATAAAATAACATAAATGAATATGTTTTAAAAAAAACTACAAAATTTAAATTATTTTCCGAAATTTAGTGTTTAAAAATCAGTCTTTTACGTTAATATTGGTCTCCCTGTATACTAAAACTCTGTATTTTTTTTTTTTTTTTATTTAGTCGACTTTAAGGAAATGGATATCGTGGCCAACGCATTCGTTATGTTTATAGCCGGCTATGAAACGGTATCGACCACTATAAGCTTTTGTCTGTACGAATTGGCGTTAAATAAAGATATCCAGGATCGCGTTCGCCGAGAAATGCTGTCGGTCAAAGCCAAACACGACGGACGAATTGACAACGAGTACACGAACGATTTGCGGTACTTGGAAATGGTATTGGAAGGTTTGTAGAGTTTCATTAAAAAACTGAGCAAGCACACTTTATTTTACCATATCATTTTGCTGTCAGAAACCCTAAGGAAGTATCCTATCTTGTGCATTATATTCCGTCAGACTACCGAACCGTATCAGGTGCCCGGTGAAAATTTGTTAATTGAAAAGGGCACGAGAATTTTCATACCGGCCTATTTCTTGCACTATGACAGCAAATACTATCCGGATCCGACCACATTTGATCCGGAACGGTTCACCCCGGAGGAAAAAGCCAAACGGCCGACCGGTACATACATGCCTTTCGGGATAGGACCTCGCGTGTGCATTGGTAAGTGACGGATATGTACAGACATAATATCTAATCGTTAAGATGGTTTTTTTTTTATATCGCAAACAACACGCCTTTGCAGGTAAACAATTTGCCGAACTCGAAATGAAATTAGCCTTGACGGAAATCATTACCAAATACGAGGTGGAACCGTGTCATCTGACAGATATTCCTATGAGACTGAGTAAATCCTCACCAATTATCTCGCCGGAAAATGGCATTTGGTTAAGGTTCAAGCTGATTACCACGGAAAATTCCAATATAGAAAAATATAATGAATAATAATTATAATAATAAAAAATATAATAAGTAATAGTTTCTACAAAATAATCTCACATGTTTAATAATATTATGTTTTGTAAAAGTAAAAACTTATAAAAACAACTATTTCTTACTTTTGCATAATTAATATATTTATAAAACCACAATAAAAACGTTATTTCAAACTTGAATTGGCTAATAGAATTATTTCATTGGTGAATTATATTACTTTTAAGTAGAATCTTGATAACCATGTAGATTGTATGTAATTATTTCATACTACGTATTTTATTGCCTATTGGCTTACACATTAATTACATAGATATTGCATTTTAGCCTTTACCATTTATCAAGTTTGTATAACAAATTAATAAAAACTCAATTAAGACTGCACATTACTACGAAAGATAAGAATAAAGTTATTACTATTAATTAAATTTGTTATTTATTTTATAACAAGCGTTTTAGACCATTATTCTATGTTATAGACTAGATAGAGATTTCTTTATATTATGTGTTATTTGAGTATTTAATAACTAATTGAGTTAACGATTTTTCTTTTTTAAATATAATAATGTAAATACTTAGATTAATAAAACAAACATATTATCTAAGACGTCTCAAAAGTATCTCTTTTGTAAATAAGATAGTATCAAGTTAAAATTCTAAAAACAATGCTAAAATGTTCTCATATTTTATATTATTTTTTGACAACTTATTGTGATACTCCAGCTCCTTATTTTAGTTTTGTAAAAGTGTAGACTTAATATCAATTTTACATTCAAAAATAAATTTTAATGAACAGTGTTGAATTCATAAGTATTTTTCTGTATTGCAAAACGACCATTTTAAGCAGACAATAGTAGTCATGATAATCATTTATTTATGTTTTTGGTTCAATTGTTTTTTGACTAAACTGTAATCTAAAAAATGAATAACCATTAAACCAAAGGTCATAGAACAATAATACAATTCAAAAAAAGGATAAGTATAATTATGCTTAGTTAGCACCAACTCAATAATGTAAAAGACCCAACACAACTGTCAAAAATGTATTAAATTTGTTTTCGTCATAACATGAAACATATGGTAATATAAAATAAACTATAAATTTGATACATATTGGGATCGGGGAGATCACAGGACTTAAGGAATTATTATAACTAAATACGTTAAAAACACTTTAAAAAGGGGGGAGATCACACTTAGACCATGGTAAATTCTAGGTTGCTATGTATGTACGAGTAACATTATCTTGTTAATAATCACAATACATGGACAACAACGGAAACGAAATAGTACAGATGTTCCTATCAGTACAATGGGGTTAGGCATAGTGGGAACGGGAAGGTCACAGGTTTACAGCAATTTTTAAATCTGAAAGTGATAAAATCACTTTCGAAAAATGCTTCAATGTAAATCAGTAGTTAGTATTTTCAAGCCAGTACAGTCCAAACCAAGCACAGTATAAGCCCACAAAGTTAGAAAGTATTAAATTTAGGTGGTGTATTTACAAATAAGCATTAAAGCGTTAATTTGAAAGTGATTTTATCCGAGAGGACTAGTACAGTTTAATATAGGCATAATGGAATCAAAGCAACGAGGCGACGGAGAGGCCACTGGTCTACAGGAATTGTTATAAATATGTTTAATAATGATAAAAGTGAATAAAATCACTTAAAACTCGTATGGTTTTTTTCAAATTTTACTGTGATAAAGTACTTTTCAACTTTTACCCGCACAATGTACCTAGATTTATACTTAGTATAAACTAGATGAAATTTGTGATTTATAGAGTTGCCACTCGAAGGAATTGGTCCAGCATTAAAAAAGTTACAGTGTATACAGATAAAAAAAAAGCCTACATTATAGTAAAACCAATACCTTCTCTGCTTTGCATCGAAGCTAAAATAGTTTTCTAAATTTTTGTGTAAAAGACTTCAAAAGTGGTCAAATTATATGTTTTTGGAGTCGATGATTGCGAATTTAATATCAGTTTTCAATTTTACTCAGCCAAAAAAAAATTGAATAAAATAAATTTAATTAAATCAATACCTAAAAGTGGTACTTGAGTATCAAAACTTAATAGTATCATCCTGCATAGATCTACATAAATATGTTGTAAGGATTTGATACAATTTAAGATTTTTGGTGTTTTTGTTAATATACGAAATCTGCGAAAAACAGTTTTTCGGCAATTAAGAAAAACTGTAATGCCGAATTTGTTTTCCGTTTAATTTGTTTTGGATACATATGAGTTCTAACTAATGACAAATTTTCAATTTAAAGGTCTTAAATTTACAGTTAAAAAACCCAAAAAACAAAAGAACTTGCACCCCCAAATTATAGCCAGTAAAAGTTCTAACTTAAAAATTCGTATGGTTTTTTTTTTCAAATTTTAACTGTGAAGAAGTATACAGACACAAAAAAACCTACATCATAGTAAAACCAATACCTTCTCTGCTTTGCATCGAAGCTAAAACTAGTTTGGAAGAGGAGTAGAAACATAATAAATTGTGGAAAATTGAGATCAAGTTATATAAAAACACTATGAGAAAAATTATTCAATTATAATTAAATCCAAAGAGATATTGTGTTTCCCATGACAAAAGAATCACCCTGTATACTAATTGGTTCAATGCTCTCTTATTAGATTAGCGATAACATTATCTGATTCAGATTGATCTATAAATTTAACATATCTTTCATATTTTTCTGTCCCACAATAAAATAAATCTGTTTTAATTGGAGATTGTGGCACGGTTAACCTTTTGATCTCTTATCATTCAATATTATTATAACTAACTAAATTGAATTGTTGAGGTGTTACGTTAAAATCAGGGGCCACGATAAAGTTGCTGATAAAATTCATACTTTACTTCATAACTAAGAAAAACGAAATAAGATGTTTCCAGAATCAGACGACCATTTTACAAGTTAGAAAAAAGTTTCAAATTAATTATTGTTATCGGCCGAGTTATTTTGTCCGGAACAAATATAATAGTGTATATTTCAAACATTTTTTCTTTCATAGAGTAAAACTTGAATTTTGCCCGACCCTTTTGCTAAACAAAATTTAGTTAAAATTATTAATGTATTTTATTTTTTTATTTTTTTGTTATGTTCAACGGCTTATGAGTAATGATTGACATGCATGATAACACGGATTCATTGTTATGACCAAAATTCTAGTTAGTGTACGCTGTGAACTACACTTCCTGAGTTTATTTCCGTTTTACAATTAGTTTTCATACTATTGTGTAGAATTTGTGGGAAGCAGTTGGATCATTTGGAATTCTAATTACTTAACTTTTTAATTTTCGCATATATTATAACGTCTGTGATCTTCTTTTTCATTCATAGTTTTCATTGCACTTGTAAAATATGTATACTACCGGTAATGTAGTATTGTGTGGCGTGTGTCACGTGAGAGACGGGTATAAAAACTGCTAGTCGAAACTAAATCTTGAGATGGTGGTCTAAGATGCAATAAACCCGTGGGCACTTTATTGGCCCCGTGGAGCTGCTGCTGTGGTCGAGGTGTAACCAAACGGTGCCGTTGAGGACTGATACTGTAAAGACTGCAAAGGGTCGTACCCATCATCGCCGCCGACTTGAAAAGCGTGTTACAGCTACTGTACATGATAAATATACACAGAAGTTGCGCTATTTTTTGGCTTTGGGGGTATTTTTTTATACCGGAAAACGCCTTGTAAAACGTTTAGCGAAACTGCCGGGTCTCGTTTCACATCATAAACACGAAGGCTATACCTATATATTTATATATATATATACATATAAATATTATTTCAGCCCTCGTCGCCCAGGAACCGCCGCTGTATCGATAAAAGAACTTTGTCGGCACAGAGAGCAGCGCTGGGAAGCCGGGAAGAAAAAAAAGTTAATATATATAATACCAAAAACCAGGGAAACCGGGTGAGGGGGCGGGTTAGGTTGGAGGGCATTACAGGGACGTCGGACAAGGAAGTCTCCGGTTCAGCGTTGTGTAGAAGTTGTGTATACAAGAGGGACAGAGGAGTTATTGTTCACCTTGAGTCACGTCGCAAATATCTCGCAGTTACCGCGCCATTCTTTCGTCAAAATTGTCTAAACAGCCCCCTGGGGTGCTATATTGACACAGTCTATCTTGATTGCTTGCCGATTATACACACGCACACAGTACTCCGTTTCGTCCCCACAGCCGCCGGAATTCGGTCTGTTTAACAGTGTCCGTTGCAACTTTATAGTATTATATATATATATATATATATATATATATATATATATATATATATATATATATATATATATACATACACACAATATATTATATATCTACCAAAAGAGACCGTCTCGCGCGGATCTGCTCATTTTGTCGTTCCACTTATTTCGTCCGGTTTCGCGTGTCTTGTAATATTCTTTCTTACTCGACCGACCCCCGCCCCCTGTTCCTGCCCGCCACTCTTCATACCCTTCAACTCCAAAGACTTAACCGCTCTTGCCGAAAACTTATTTTTCTTTCTGTGTTCTCGCACGGATCGCCCCGTCTTAGCGGAACTTTTCTACACGTTCAAAATGTAATATCATACACGACAACCCCGCGGACCGCCCACCGCCATCGCGTTGCGAAATCTACAATGTGCTTAAAATTATATATTTTCAGTATTAGGGAGGAATTTACGATTAGGATTACCATCTGTCAATTAGAAAGAATAGTCAGTTTGAATATCCTTTTAGGACGTTCATTAGCTGATAGTGTTGATGGATCTGAAGAAGTAGGTATTGCCGTGTTGTGTTCATGATGATACTCAAGTCTATTAGGTTCTAAGATTTGAACATTTTCTTTGCTATTGAACATTTCAGTTGGTTCATCAACTTCTTGAATATATGTTTTCTTAGACATATTTAATTCATCAAATATCACATCTCTTCCATAAAGTATTGCACGATTATCAGGATCCCACAATCAGCCATAGCCGACCATGATGCATTTTCTTGATTTACTGTCAAGTTTGCTCATTTTTTGTTTTGATATATGTAGATATGCATTACAGCCGAAAATCCTCATATTAGATATGTTAAGTCGCCTATTAAAACATAACTGCTGGCTATTTGTAATATATGCCGCTGAACAAATTGCTACTCCCCACATAGTTTTGTCATAGTTTCTTGAAAATAGCATACATCTGGCTTTTTCCACAAGTGTGTTCTGCTGCCTCGTTTAATTCTGGACAAGCCACAGTATTTTCAATTTGAATTCCGTTTGA